CAAGAAAATTAATTTGCTTCACTTAGGTCCGCTTTGACTATGACTTTGACAATTCCTTATTTGAATTTTGACCAAAAGAAAATGGGTTGTAACAAGAAAGGCTCACTTGCTCTCTTCAGGCTGATATTAAGGAATTGGCTCAGAAGTGTACTGATGTTGCTAAGATTACTGGTTTTGCTCTAGCCACTTCTGCACTTGTTGTTTCGGTATGGATCCTGAGTTTTATTTGTTGCTACTATGTGTTATTCTTTCTTGAAAGTGATTTTTTACATTTATTGCATGTTTAAGGTTGTAGTGGATATGGATAATTTAATTACTAATTAGTCTCAGCTTTACATCGTACTTTGTTGGCGAAATGTACTGATCAGTGAGCTTTAATAAATAGTTTTAGCATTTTAGAGCATGATCTAATTTGAACGGAGATAATATCAAGAAAAACTCAAGAGCTTGGTTACTGAGAATGTTTCCACAAAGGGACATCACCTTCAGAGTAATAATGGATGTGTGTCTTTAACATTTCCCCTCACGTGGAATCGAATTTATTTTTTTAAGGAGCAAATGCAGAAGGAGTTCCAAAACGGCTAACGTATGATGAAATTCAAAGCAAGACCTATCTAGAAGTGAAGGGAACTGGAACTGCTAACTAGTGCCCAACCATTGATGGAGGTGTTGACAGTTTTACCTTTAAATCGGGAAAATATAATGCCAAGAAATTCTGCTTAGAGCCAACATCATTCACTGTCAAAGCGGATGGTGTAAACAAGAATGCCCTACCCGAATTCCAAAAAACAAAGCTCATGACCCGTTTAACCTACACCCTTGATGAGATTGAAGGACCCATTGAGGTTTCACAGGCTGGAATCGTCAAGTTTGAGGAGAAAGATGGAATTGACTATGCTGCAGTTACAGTACAGCTTCCTGGGGGTGAGCGCGTGCCGTTTCTTTTCACCATCAAACAGCTTGTGGCATCCGGCAAGCCAGATAGTTTCAGTGGGGAGTTTCCTCGTACCATCATACCGGGGTTCATCGTTTCTTGATCCAAAGGGACGTGGTGGATCTAGTGGTTATGATAATGCTGTTGCACTGCCAGCTGGAGAAAGGTTAGATGTTATTGTAATTTATGTTTCTTTAGTAAGAATAGTTTCCTAACAAAAAGTCAAACCTAGTCGATATTTTCTCTTGTTTAGGGATTTCTAGTTAAGAGTTTTACACTTCGTATTCTCGTTTTCATTAAAATTGAATAATAGGATTGCATCATGTTAAACAGGGGAGATGAGGAGGAGCTCGAGAAGGAGAACATCAAGAATGTTTCATCTTCAACTGGAAAGATTACCTAGTTTGTTACCAAAAGCAAGCCTGAGACTGGTGAAGTAATTGGAGTATTTGAGAGCATTCATGTTACACCCCATTCATGTATAGTCAATCTCAAAGGAGTCAAAGTCAAATGTTCAAGTAGTCAAAGTCAAAGTCAAAGTCAA